TTGTGATCCTGCACACAGTTAGGATATAATGTTTAATGGGGGTCACTAAATAATCATTGACTAGTAACAGAAAAATTGCAGTTACTGATTACTTACTGCATTCCCGGTCACTAAATGTGCATCTAATTTTGTTATAAAAAGAGTCACTAAATTAATCAGTAACCATCGCAATTGGTCACTAATCAGTGATCATATGTTTTTCGGTCACTAATTAATGATGAAAAGCTGCGGCACTATTTAGCGATCGAAGTAATGGTGGTCACTAATTAGTGACCGATTATATTTGGTCACTCATTAGTGACCACCTTGGTCACAAAACCGATTAGTGACGAGGGTTTTTTTGATCGACCGTAGCGATCACAAATGCGGTCACTGATTTATTCAGTGACCGCTGCCTTTTGAAATTAGTAATCAATCATGCGGTCACAAAATGGCATTTTTCTGGTAGTGTATGCGGATTGCATTACAGGCCAAAAAGAAATATGGATTCGTTGATGGAATTGTCAAACAACCAGTGGATGATTCGCTGGAACTTGAAGACTGGCAGACTATTAATTCTATGATTGTTTCTTGGGTATTCAATACTATTGAACCCACACTTCACTCAACCATTTCTCACACAGAGAACATGAAAGACTTGTAGGAGGATATAAGGTAGCATTTTTCCATTAGGAATGGACCAAGAGTGTGGCAACCGAGATCAGATTTGGCAAACTGCAAGCAGGAAGGGTAGGCCATAGTGACTTATTATGGTCGGTTCAAAATGATTTGGGATGAATTGAACAACTATGATGAAGTACCGATGTGTATTTGTACTGAATGCAAGTGCAATCTCACTGCTAAATTGGAAAAGAAGCGTGAAGAAGAAAGAGTTCATCAATTTTTTATGGGATTAGATAAAGAAGGGTATGGAACAGTATGCTCCAATATCTTAAGCACTGAACTCTTGCCTAACCTAAATTGAGTTTATGCAATGGTTGTCCAGTAGGAACGAGTGCAGAGCATGACATGGACAAAGGAAGAAAAAGGCAATCCCATGAGTTTTGCTATCCAGGTTGGAGGTAAAAATTCAAGGGGAGATAGAAAGGATGGAACCACAATTTGCTCTAATTGCAAGCGAGAGGGACATGATCCAAACACCTGTTTCTAATTGATATGATATCCAGATTGGTGGGGGAACAAACCTCACACAACCACTACTAGAGGAGGTGGTGGGTGAAGACGTGGTGGTGGAGGACGCAACAAGGGAGTTACTCCTCAGGCCAATGCTACTCAAGCACTAGGAGTGGATGGTGGACATGGTGTTATGACTGAATCTGATAAAAAAGGACTTAGAAGGCTAAACGATGAGCAATGGGCTATATTGCTTGGCATGTTGAGCATGCACAAAAATGGTACTAATGAGAGGTTGACGAGTAAGCAAAGATCTCTATCTTGGATTATTGATTCAAGAGCCTCCCATCATGTGATTGGCACACTTTCATGTTTGACTGAGTTGCATGATATTGTTCCCTGTCCAGTCGAATTATCAAATGGAGAAAAGACTATGGCATTGAAAGAAGGAACTGTGAATCTTGGAGGAGAATTGAAATTGCAACATGTTCTTTTTGTACCTAATTTAAAATGCAATTTGATTTCTGTATCGCAGCTTCTCAATGATTCAAATATGGTGGTTCAATTCACTAACAGAATTTGTGCTTTATAGGACCGAAATTTGAAGGAGCTGATTGGAGTGGGTGAACAGCATGAGGGGCTTTATTTTCTCAAATGAGTGGCATCAGTTCATGCTTGCAAAACAATTGGTGATGCTTCTTTTGAGCTTTGGCATAGGAGAATGGGTTATCCTTCTTCGAGGGTGGTAGAGTTAATTTCTGAAGTTAGTGGTTCTGGTAGGAATGCAAATAAAGCTTATGATGTTTGTTTTAGAGCTAAACAAACTAGAGAAATATTTTTTTTCAAGTGATAATAAGGCTAAAGAATGCTTTGATTTGATACATTGTGATTAATGGGGACCTTATAAAGTTTCGACTTTTTGTGAGGTTGGTTATTTTTTTACTATTGTTGATGATTGTTCTCGTGTTGCATGGATATACTTGTTGAATGGAAAAAATGAAGTTGCTTGTGTTTTCCAAAGATTTGTTGCCATGACTCAAAGGCAATTTAAGAGGGATGTGAAAATTGTTAGAAGTGACAACAAAAATGAATTTATTTAATGAGCGTGGAATTTTGCATCAAACCTCATGCGTGGGGACACCACAGCAGAATGGCCGTGTGGAAAGAAAACATCGCCACATTCTTAATGTGGCGAGAGCCTTACTGTTCCAAGCACATTTGCCTATTGAATTTTGAGGTGAATGTATTCTTACTGTTGGATATTTGATTAATAGGACACTTTCCTTGTTATTAAAAGGCAAAACACCGTATGAAATTCTTTTTGGACAAGTGCCTTCTTAAAAACACATTAGAACCTTTGGATGCCTTTGTTATGCACACAATCTAAATGGGGATAAAGATAAGCTTGCAAGTAGGAGTAGAAAATGTGTTTTTGTTGGATATCTATTTGAAAAGAAAGGATGGAGGTTGTATGATTTAAAAAGTGGTGAATACTTTGTTTCTAGAGATGTAATGTTTATTAAGACAGATTTTCCATATGCCAATGAAAGGGTTATAGGGACTGATTTGACTGAAAATAGAATTTTTGATTGGGGTGATGATTTGGAAGATAACATGGGAGAGCAAGAGGAGAGTCATGGTGAGGAGGAAGTGACTGCTTTTGAAGTAGTTAAGGATGTAGAAAACAGTGGGGTTGACAGAGTAGAAAGAAATGATGTTCAAGCAAAGCAACTTGGTAGGGGACAATGGATTAAACAACCTTTTGTTCAATTGAAAGATTATGTGACACATACCATCAGCTTAAGCCCCTCTGCATGTTCATCATTCCAACTAAATTCCTCAAGTACACCTTATCCTAGAGCACATTGTGTGAATTACGATAAATTCTCTTTGCAACACCGGTCAGTTTTGGCAAGTATCTCTGCAAGATATGAACCTAATACTTATGCCTAGGCAGTTAAGGATGAATGATGGCAATGAGAAAGGAAATCCAAGCTCTAGAAGACAATGGAACATGGACAGTAGAGGATTTAGGGGTTGGGAAGAAAGCAATTGGGAACAGGTGGGTCTATAAGATCAAGTATAATTATGATGGAAGCATTGAACGGTGCAAAGCACGCTTGGTGATTCTTGGAAATAATCAAGTTGAGGGAATTGACTATCATGAAATGTTTGCTCCTATAGCAAAGATGGTTACCGTGCGCACCTTTTTTGCTGTTGCAGCAGTAAAAAATTTGGGCATTACATCAAATGGATATTCGAAGTTTTTTCTTGCATAGTGACTTGGATGATGAGGTTTACATGAAAATGCCACCCACTTTTGTTTCTCAAACCCTAGGAAAGGTATGTAGACTTCGAAAGTCTTTGTATGGTCTACGACAAGCACCTCAGTGTTGGTTTGCCAAGTTGGCGGCGTTCTTGAAATCTTATGGATTTAAGCAATCTTGTTCAAATTACTCACTGTTTACTTTTAGAGATGGGGATGTTCAATTGAATATCCTTATCTATGTTGATGATCTTATTATTTCTGGTAGTGATGAAATGGCTATGCAAAGGCTCAAGGATTATTTAAGTCGATGCTTTCATATGAAGGACTTGGGCAAATTGAAGTATTTTTGGGGATAGAGGTGGCACGGAATTCTGATGGTATCTTCTTGTGTCAACGGAAATATGCATTGGACATTATTTCTAAGGTTGGTTTGTTGGGAAAAAAATTGGCTAAGACTCCTCGTGAACAAAATCACAAACTTGCTCTTGTGGAAGATGCTGATATGGACAATTCGGTTTAGTATAGATGACTCGTGGGACGGCTCATTTATCTAACAATTACTCATCCAGAGCTATCTTATTGTGTTCATATTCTTGCCCAATTTGTGCAATGATCGAAAAAAGAACATTAGGAGGCAGCTTTGTGAGTTGTGCATTACTTGAAAGGAAACCCAAGTCAGGGTGTTTTGCTATGTGCAAATTGTGATTTGAAACTCTATGCTTTTTGTGACTCAGATTGGACCAGCTATCCTTTGACAAGAAGGTCTTTGACTAGGTATTTTGTTCTCTTGGGAAATTCACCTATCTCTTGGAAACAAAGAAGCAACAGACAGTGTCACGCTCATCTACTGAAGCTGAGTATAGGTCTATGACTACAACAGCTTGTGAACTCAAGTGGTTGAAAGGATTGTTGAGTTTTCTTGGTATTGATCATATTGAGCCTATGCGTCTCTATTGTGATAATCAATCGGCCTTGCATATTGCAGCTAATCCAGTTTATCATGAGCATATGAAACACATTGAAGTCGACTATCACTTTATACGTGATGAGATACAAAATGGGATAATTCAAACAAAGCATGTGCACACTTCTATACAACCTGCTGATATCTTTACAAAGGCTCTAGGTAAGGATCAATTTGATTTTCTTCTTCGCAAGTTGGGCATTTAGAATCTTCATGCTCCAACTTAAGAAGGGGTATTGGACTAAGCTGCATTTTTGGCAGATGGTTTAGAAAAGTTTTGTGAATATTTTTTATTTGGTAAGTCTCAATAGTTTACCTTGTATAGGAAATCTATTGTAATCTTTGATTTAGAACTTCTTCCTTGTTTAGCAGATTTGGTGAGCTGTAATCTTTATGTATATATTTTGATTCTATCAATGAAACAGGTAGGACTTTAAGCCCCAAAATTTCTCAGAATTATTTGGTTTCCCTAAGTATAGTAGGTAGCTAGGGAGTTGGCAACCATCACCAAAAAAAAAAAAAAAAGAGAGAGAGAGACAGTCTTAACCCATTTAAAAGCTCCAAACAATATCCATTCATTCTAAGTTATAAAAGGATAAAATACACAAAGATGTCTACACCTAGTAACTACTGAAAAAGTTGGTGGGAAAGCTCTCACATGCAACAACCTTGTAGTTGTGAGAAGAATAAATGAACCTTACTCCTTTGATAATTTAAAAGAAGGATGTTAAAGTTTCTGAGCAAATTCCCCTAAAAATGGACAAGACTAGATTTATATGAAGACATCCCAATCCAGTCAACCCAGAGGAATATCAAGTAATGATACAATTCCACCATTATTATAAAAGTTATAAATATGCGAAAATGAAGTCAGACACAGCAGTGTACAAACCATCATTAGTCACAATTATCAAACCAGTTGTTGCCACATTAAGATGTCCAATAGTGAACAATCTTGGTTTTGGTTGTTCAGGATTCCACTTATCCTAAATACAAAGAAAATGAATGTTTGAAGTAACTAATTGCAAAGCAAAGTTACAACAACTATCAAGAAGTACCCCATAGTTCTCCTAAAAGAGAACATCAATAGATGATGAAGTCATCCACGCATACCCAGCTTTTCACATAATCATCAAATAAAGACACTACCAATTTTGTCTCTTTCTCCCCAGATGAGCATGTGTTCCTACAATGATCTAGCCCTAGAGAACCACACAAAGTATGTAAATAATTTGAGGATTCCATATGAGAAAATGGAACAAAGTAATGAGATAGCTAACCCTTTTGGTTGTTCATGGCAAAGTAAACCTTGGGAGGCAATTTCTTAGGAAGGCACTTTCCATTAACATAAATTACATCCGTTGCAAGGTTGACTTTAGCCTGCTCATTATAAAAAGAGATGCGACTATATTACTCATAAGGGACCCCATTTCCCAGCCATAATCCCATATTCTTCGTCACATAAGCGGCGTTCGCTTTGGGAGATAAGATAAACGCCGATAGGGTATATATGATAAAATTTATCCTACCTTTACAGTAATAGTATTTTTATCACACGTTCGGCTGCCCTAATAACAATCTGGATAACAAACTGGATAATATACTAAATTACCAAATTACCACTACTCACAACTTCACCTTCCCTCTCCTCTGTGACGACTGACCTTCAACCTTCCCTCTCCTCTTTAGTGACTGGCCTTACCTCTTCTCTCCGGTGTGAGCAGGCATCGGCGTGAGCGAGCGCTTGCAGATCCGGTGCCTACTCAAGCAAGCGCCCAGAGTAGGTGGCGGAGTGGGGTGCCTGTAGATCTGCAGGCACCGTAGTGAGAAGGGGCGGTGATGGTGAGGGGAGGAGAGGTTCACAGGGGTAAATTTGGCCAAAAAAAATTTTACACAAGTGAGAAAATTTCTCATGCTGGCACCCTTGGGATAAAGTTTACACGCATGTGCTGATAAGCCTACTGCCCGAATTTTTATCCCATCCTGTTATATGTATATCGAATGCATGATAAAGGGGGATAAGTCTAATAACTTTATCCTTATTAGTCTTATCCCCCAACCAAACGGGGCCATAGATGTTTTAACAAGATAAACGATGAAAATGTAGAATCCCTAGAAAAACATAGCAAGGAAGACTACATAGCACAAGAGCTTACATGTGGGTTGTTGCACACAGACCCATTAACAGTCACCTTTCCTTCGAAAATAAGCTTTTCACTGCTCCTTCTTGATGCCATTGGCAAGAGGAACTATGATCAGTCAACACATAACAAAGAGATCCTTATATCAACTAAAGACAATCACAAGCCTCGATTACAGTGCTAGTTAAGTTGCCATTTCCAGAAGTGACTACTTTTGAAAAATCAAAACAGGTAAATACAATAATTGAACATAGATTGAAATTTTTTAGAGCAAACTACGTCCTACATTGCTAGCCAAATTACCAAGCACTATGATGTTTAACAAACCCAACCAAACTGTTTAGAATGATGAAATCGTGATTTGATTTAGTCTAGTTCGGTTCGGTTGAGAAATATATTTTTTTATATACAATTTAGTTTAATATTTGACATATAAACAAATCACATAAATCGAATGAAACCGTATAATTTATATATAAAAAAAATTAAAAATTTTATCTCTCTATGTATATATAGTATATTTTTATTATTTGACTTTATTTTCTTTTTTTATATTTTATATTTATATTTATGATAATAATTAATTATTATTCTTTTTTAAAGTGTAATATGTATGAGTGAAATTTTATAACAATTTATAAATACATTTATTGTATAATGTATAATTACTATAATTGATAATAATGAATTTATTAAATTAAACAAATTAGAAAAAAATGAATAATCATTTTTTAAAAAAATTCTATTAAATTTTTATAAAAATAATAAATTTATTTTATTTTATTTTACAAATCACAATCCATATTTTAAAATTAAATTAAAATATAAACTATAATTCAATTTGATTTATAAAAATTAAAATTTATCAAATATAATTTAATTTAAATTTAAATATTAAATTAAACCAAACCGAACCATTAACCACCTTGCCAAGCACTTAAATGTATCGCAACTAAACACCACCCACAAATGTATTTATAAATAAAGCTACAAACAGAATTACAATAATTTTACCTCTAGAAGAAACCAGAACGTTGCTGAGCCGCTGAGGTGGTCCCTGACATCCTGATTATGGAACCTCCTTGCGGCCTTGGAACGCTTGGACTCTGATGACACCCCAGCTTTACTTGATGCCTCGCTCTTCTTCTTCTTCTTCTTCTTCTTCTTCTTCTTCTTCTTCTTAGTAGATTGAGTCTTGGCATTCGTCATTGCCTGTAGGAGACAAGCCGGCGGTGTAAACTGCACGGTGATGTTGCCATTCTCGTTGCGGACAATCCATGGGATAAAGAGCTGCTTGCCCACTTCATCAAAAGATCGATCTCTGAATCAAAGTTGGGAGATGGAGATTTGGATTTGTTGTGGGCGAAGCTGATGATATATTCGAGTGCGGAGGAGGAAGGGGAGGGCCCGGACCGGGAGGAAGAGGGGAGAGGAGGCGATGGTGCAGAGGTGGCAACGGGTGCGGATGAGATGGAAGAGCCGTGAGAGGTGGGGAGAGGATAGCGCCATTGAGGCTGCGGCCACAGCTACGGCATGGCCGCCATTGATATCAGCGATGGTGAGATTTTTATTAGTTGCAGATTGCAGAGTAACCATTTTCAAGGTGTCTTTGCGAAGACGATGGAGAAAGGTGAACAAATGCGTTTGGGCCTGTTTGTTTTGCGGCGAATATTTTCTATTTTTATTTCTTGTTTCTATTATATAAAAATTATTTTATTTTCAGACTTTTAAATTTTAAGAAATAAATTTGATTTATTTTAGTATTTTTTTAAAAATAACTCTAGATTTTTTGCAAGTATTTTATTTTAAAAAATATTTAAAATAATTTTTTATAATTTTTAATTTTCACTAATTTTAAAAATATTTTAAATAAAATAGAAAACATAAAAATCCCATACGTATTTAATCTTATTTTCTATTTACATTGAAAATGGAAGTAGAAAACAGACAAAACATGCAGCCCTTTTCTTAAGAGTTTTTCATTTTAAAAAAATTAACATTCAAAACCTATTTTATATTTTTCTAAAGGAAAAACCTCAAACAAATTAGCTTTTTGCATAAATTTCTCAAGAAAACCAATAGACCTTCATTTTAAGGGGGTGTTTGCAAAAGTTTCTTATTAGAGCTCCTTGACTTTTTGATGATTGAAAATCACTTATGAGTATTTGTAAATTTACTTTAAGTTTTAAATTTTCTAAATTTAAGAGATAGAAACAAAAATTTTGAAATTAGGGAGGAGTATTTTTAGCTTCAATAGCATTTTTGTAATTTAAAAAAAATTGCTAAAGTGGAACTTTGAGCAATTTTTATCCTTACATATTTTCCTTCTTCCCGAACTACCATTATTTTTTTCTTCTCTCTTGTTTGTCGCCAAAAACTTACCGGCCAGCAACTATTATTAGTTGCCCATCATATCACTCCCGTTGGGGTCACCGGTATCACCTGGCAACACTAACGAGTCATAACTGGCGGCTAATATACATGGGTTGCTTAGAGCTACCAACAGAAGAATAATTTTTCAGAATTGTGAGATAAAAATTTTTAATGTATTATCGTTGATCTTTCCCTCCCTTGCCGCCTTTGCCATCAAATCTGGCATCTACTATTGGAGGATCTGCCATGTTTGATAATGATGTTCAATCGTCTATACATCCCAGCAATCGCAAAAGCCTCGGGTTCTAACAACCATGTTCGATAACCATGCCCGATGGCTTTGCTCCTCTTGTCCATGTCACTGTTGAAGAAGAGATGTGTCTGCCATGTTGAAGAAGAAAAGACCATCCTGCTGATACTCATGGCCAATCAAACCCCAAATCCCTGGACAAATCCACACTTGACCACTGCCACTGGAAAAAGAGAAAAAAAGAGGAAGAGAAGAGAGGGAGGCTTAGGCATTTTTGTCTTTCTAAATTAAAATTTCTCCGTACACAAATTCTATAAATTAATTTCTAAACACTTACTTCATTATTTTTGAAAATTTTTAACTTATTTTGTAAATATGACCTACTTCTAATTATAATCAAATTTTATACACTTTTATTTAAAGTTTTAATTTTTATTTTATAAAAATAGTTGCAAATACTCCTAAATGTTGTACGAACAAGAATGATTTATTATTTTAATTCTTTACAGAAAATAAATTGTAAATTTTCTTAAAATATTATATTTCATGAAATATATGATTGTTTTAATTCTTTCATCATTTAGAGTTTTTTCCGTACATATATGAAATACAAAGTTTTTAAATAATAATTTTTGTTACTAATTTAAGGAGAACGGTTACCTCTCTTTTTGGGCCTACCGAGCCCAAAACACAAGCCATCAGCTTCTGCAATTCATGTCATGTTGGGCCTATAAACTTGTTCTTCGCTTTCCTTCTGTCCAGAGAAGAAGCGACTGAGAGATTGCAGAGGGAGGGAGAGCTTTGGAGAGGTGGGAGAGAGGGAGAGAGGATGGCTCAAATTCCTAATTTGGACAATGCCCCCGTCAATCTCTCGTCCATAAGGTATATCTGTTCTTCCATCTGTGTCCTCGATTTCCAGTAACCACTCGTTTTACTGTATTTCTTTTTTCTTTTTTTTTTTTGTGTGAAAATCAGAGAACAATCTCAGAAGGAGCTCATCACTATCCTGAAAAATGTGAGTGGATCACGACCCAACATCAAAATTCATTATACAACGTGTGAAACGTATATGTCCCGATTTATGCTAATGCTTGACTGGTTGAATTTACTTCTGAATCCATAGATTAGAGGCAAGAAATGTTTGGTCGTCGATCCAAAGCTAGGAGGATCTCTGTCTTTGATTGTTCAGACCTCACTCCTCAAGGTAATTCACCTAACTCGTTTTCGCGATCATTGTCCTTGTTCATTCCTATTTTGTTGCTTTTGTTTTCGTTTTAGAGTATTAACAACAAAGTGAAATTGCCAATTATATGCAATTTAAAGTGTGTTTACTGATAGGTAAATTAGGTAATTCCCTTTTTGAGTTTTCTGCTTAGCTCTTTAAACTGGGGGGGTTTGAACTTTAGTGTCTACTTGCAAACAGGAAAATGGAGTTGAATTGCGGCATCTTACTGCAGAACCAATTCAGACTGAATGCACTAAAGTGGTTTACCTCGTCCGAACTCAGCTTGATTTAATGAAGTTCATTTGTTCACATGTTCATAACGATGTTTCAAAGGGGCTTCAAAGGGAGTATTTTGTTTATTTTGTTCCTCGTCGTGCTGTTGCATGTGAGAAGGCAAGCTTTCCTGATCTTTGATCAATTGGATTACTCAATTATCAAAATCCACATTCTTTTCCAGTTGATTTGATTGTGATATACATATACATACACATATATATTCACTAGTAGGCTCTGCAGATATTGGAAGAAGAGAAGGTTCATCACTTGATGACTATTGGGGAGTACCCCTTATATGTAGTTCCTTTGGATGAGGATGTGTTATCTTTTGAACTTGACCTTGCCTCTAAAGTAAGATTTCTTTACCTCATCTTGATAATTTGACAAAATTAAGTTTCCTTCAACTGCAACTATCTTAGAGGTGGTGTGTTGTGCTTGGTAGGAATATGCAGTTGATGGTGATACAAGTGCTCTCTGGCATATTGCAAAAGCAATTCACAAGCTTGAGGTTTTGATATTTTGTTAACTTACACATAGGTCAAAAATAGTCAGCAGATGGCCCCACATTGGAGGCCTCTCTTAGGCACATACTTCTAGTTCTGTACTTTAAATTGAATATATTAATTTAACAGTTATTCATGGTATTTTGAACTGTAGTTCTCTTTTGGACTAATTCCAAATGTAAGGGCCAAAGGAAAAGCATCTGTATGTGTTGCTGAAATACTAAACCGTATGCAAGCAGAAGAGCCAGTTAATATATCTGATGTAATTATGCATCACTGAACTTGTTTCATGCTGGTATATGTTGAATGTTAATTACATCATCAATTCTCACATAACTGTCATTTCTCTGCAGGTGGCCATCCCTGAGATAAACACCCTCATCCTCTTGGACAGGGAGGTATTATTTTTCTCTTGTGTGCCAATTTTCAATAATGTATTAGTGTTATCATATTCATTTTATACATTTTATGTGAATTCTACACTTTGTTTCATATCTGGTTTACAGAACTGAATTTCGTTCTTGCAACAGGAGAATCTAGTAGTAGGATTATTTTAGTATTGCAATGAGGTCAATAATGTCAATATATGTTTATCTTGGGGAGAGTTTCTTCTTGTGTACATGGATATAGAAGTGGAGAAGGTTGTCAACTATGAGTAATAATATTACATTTAGGACTAATTTGGTAGGCCTTGTAAACCTCTTTTTCTTTTCTCTTTTTCCTTTTTTTTTCTTTTAGAAATATCATAATGGCCAATTCAAATAGATGAAGCTCAAACACATAATTCAACATGGCCATCTCTTTTACTCATTTGTCAAAGGAGGTTGGAAATATAGCTCAAGTTTTGGCTGTTAATCTTTATAAACAACTTGACCTAGCTCCTAGTGATGCAGGCTTTTTGCTGCTTATAACAGCTTCACCTAAGAAGCCTGTACACAGACACTGTTTGACAAGATATGATCACAACAACTTCATAAACATTTAGGATAGAGGCATGGCTGGACATGGGTGAAAATTAATATTTATATTCATTATATTTATAATTAGAATATTTTAAATTATCCATAACAACATAATACCCAATAATCAAACTAATTCATTCATGCTTAAACATCATTCAACATGCACCAAAAACTGCTATAGATTTATGATGATTATTTTATCTTCTATTATTTAATTACATGTGATTTTTATGTTTGATTCATAATATCCTTGCACAATCTTAATGTTGGGTGAATCTTATTTGAGATAGAAGCATATGTATCTATGTGTTATGACTGAAATGAAAATAAAATAAAAAATTAGACACTACACATGGCTTGTTTGCTACACGTCTTGGCATGTCCTTTAAGTATTCGTGTCTGACAAGTGCCATGCAGGGATATGTCACACCAGACAAGAGTGTTCGTGTTTTCTAGGGATTAGATTATTCAAAGTTCTAAAATTGACATAATTGGGTTCTGTATATTTGAAATTAGTAATAAACTATAGGCTGGAGATTTGTTGTTTTCAGGGCTAATATCTGGTTGATAAATGTTCTGTAGATTTACCTTAGAATATATTTGACTTGGATGCAGGTGGACATGGTTACTCCCATGTGTTCACAACTGACATATGAAGGGCTGCTTGATGAGGTAAAAGATTTTAATTTAGGACTTTAATTAATCCTGGTTGTTTATAAAAGTAGAATTTGTATAATGGTAGTGTTTGACAGAACCTGAGGATAAAGCAGCTGATGAATGTGCAAAAAAATTTTGTTAGTGAAAAAATAAAATGTTAAGCCAAGTGAATGTACTTTAAGTTCTTTCAGAGTGTAAATATGATTAAAAAACATATAACTAGCATATGTTTGTTTTGTAGGGTTGGGGGGCCAAAGCTGGTCCTGATGACAATATAAAAAGCACTCTTTCAGTATCTGTATCAAATAAGTTTATGTTGCTATATATTTGATTCAAGTAGATGTTAGAATAAAGAATTAAAACCAATGTCATTCTATTGTATATTGTTAAAAGCTAATGAAAATATGATGACAAAAGTAACAAATAGCTAGACTTGTCGAAGTTGAGCTTTGTTTATATAATTGGTTGGGGTTAAAGTTCTTAGCAGTTCCCTGTTGTTGCTCATTATCATTTAATTAAGAGAAACTAAAGGATAACAAGAAGGCGAGGATGAAAATTGTTGCTATTGCAACAGAAAAACTAAACTTGCAAAAAAATAAAATGTGTGTTTTTCCAGTAGCAGCAGTGTGACAGGATACTTTCTGCTTATGGTTCTCATCAAAGGCTAGCAATTCATGGCATGGGCCATGCTACGACTTGGATTCTGCTTTTGATACCAGCTATTCATGTCAGATTGTGGTTTTTCAACCTAATGTGGGCTTCATATTAAATTATTTAAACCAATATTTTTTTATGCTCTCATTTTAGAGAATTATATGTACCAATTCATTTGAATTGCCATTGGCTATCTCTAATAGCTTGTGTGCAGTTTCTTCATGTCAATAATGGTGCTGCAGAGCTGGATGCATCTATCATGGGAGTCCAGCAACAAGAGGGCAAAAAGATGAAGGTTCCACTTAATTCGAGGTAAACTTCTCTAGTATCTTCCCAGCCTTCTCAGTGTGGCCCGCTGTGTCTTTTGTGTCTTTCTATTTTCATTGATCCTGTGCTAGTCCTCTAGATTTATTAGAATTAGACTTTGGTCTCATTTTCACTGTACTTGACTTGAGCATTGAATGGTCTAGTAGATTGGTTTAGATCATAATTCTTTGTCTTTCCCAGTAAAAGCATTTAGACTTCAGCAGATTGGACCAGTTCATGTTGTTTTTACTTTTTGGCCTCTTCAGCTGGGATTTCACTCTAGGAAGATAGAGTTTTGGTGCATGAACGCCTTTTACCAATTTCGACTGTACCATGTTTGAGTCTGTCTGAGCAATTCTTATTGAGAGATCTGTTCTAAAGTGACAACTCTTAATTGTTCTGCTTATGTGGATCCCAATTATTTTTCTCATGTTTTTTATTTTTCTTTCTTCTCCCAAAAAAAGTGCAAAGCCATGAATTTTATTTTTGTTATCTTCTGGAAGTGAGTAGGTTTTAATTGTTAATCATATAATTTTTCTGTCCCAGGTTTTCCTTTGTTTTTGCACATTGACATTTTGTTGCATTATTTATTATCTTTTCAGTGATAAACTGTTCAAAGAAATACGGGATCTCAACTTTGAAGTTGTAGTCCAGGTTGATCTATTCTCACCATAATACTTTCAAAAATATGCCTATGAACTCATCAAACTTTTCATTTGCTTCTGAAGCTGAGTTCATTCCTTTAGAAGTTCCTTCTTTTTAGTTGCCATTGGCAGTATGATTGCAGGTTCTACGTCAAAAAGCTACATCCATGAAGCAGGACTACACAGAGATATCATCTATGGTGTGTTGCTATTTCAAATTTTAACTATTAAGCACCTTCATTCTCTGTCTTTTATACCTGCTGCTGCATAACTGGGATTTATACCCAAACCTATCAGTGAAAGTTGCCTTTATATATGTGAAGATTCTTACCAAAAAGTGGGAGATACCACACATATGCTACCTTCTATAAGTGACTGATCAAGCAAAAAATTTAACAATCTGATGTCAATGATTTATTTCTAAGGTTTCAAACTGTGTCTAGTAAAATTTGCTACTGTTTGTTTGAACAATAGCATTCACTATGCTAGCCTTCTTCTAATGAGTTCCATGTCAAAATATACAGACTCAAACGGTTTCTGAACTGAAGGACTTTGTCAAAAAGCTGAACTCATTGCCAGAAATGACTGTAAGTGTCATTTTTTACATTTATGATTGAGATAGACATGTCAAGGTAGTGAATGGCCAGATCGTAATTGCTAGTTCTTGTTGTTATAGAGGCACATAAATCTTGCTCAATATTTGTCAACTTTTACTTCAAAGCCATCATTTCTGGGGCGGCTTGATATGGAGCACACTTTGGTGGAGGCTCAGAGCTATGACATGTAAGTCGAGTTAGAGATTGTCTTTAGTTGCCAAAATTAAAATATGTGATGATTTAGTTGGATTTTTTATTTGGTTATATTAGTTGAGGATAAGGCACATAAGGCCCAAAGGTCTCCTAAGAGCCTTAGCACAAATGCAGAGCAGGGTGTGGCCTTTGATTGAAGGAAGACATATGTTGAATAATGTCATATATATTCTACTTCAAATTATTCTCTATTAGCTGAGATTATACAGAACGTTCAAATTTCAAATTTATCAAATGCATATATACATAGTAAACATATGCATTCAGAGTCCAAAATCCAAAGTAAAAATACTAGAACAATACAATATACTCCAAATATCATATAAATTAGTAGCAAAAACCATATCTGGCATGAAGTACAAAAAATAACTAAATACATCTAAAAGTTAAACTCCAAACCAGTGAAATACATGGAATGCAAATTAAGAAGGAATTGGTACTCAAAGTATAGAATGTGAATGAAAAAAGTAAGAAAGAAGTAGAAGAGCATAGAGAGAATTTTAATGAAAAGAGGAAGAGTATGGAAGTCATAGCTGAACCAGGCTGGCATTACTCCTATTAAAGCTCAATGATCCAACAATGGAATGTAATTGATGCTTCCATTTGTTTTTGGGGTTTCATCAACATTAAAAGCACAATTAAGAAATCTTATATTACAAGCCATAAAATGTGTAGCAAAAGGAGAAAAGAAGTTATCGGCATATACAATCCCTTTTAAATTCTTCACAAAAACTGAAACATAGGTGGATGTCATTAAGGCACATTGTTACGTGGCTTTAACCTTTCTCCCTTGAGCTTTGACCTTCTGTGGTCAAGGAGCATGCCTAAGTGAAAAGATGTATGGCACCTGTAGAGCCTTAATGTGCATTGGGTTTTCCTGGGGCTTTAACAATGAATTTGTATCATGTGAATAATCTCAGTAATGCAGAATTGCTTTTAGTATTTGGCTTCCACCAATGTTCAACTAACTATAAGTTCTCTCTAACAGCATCATTTTTCTAACATTTTTTTTTCTTCTAAAATCTGAACAAATTTGACTCTTGTGGTTTTTGAATCATTACAATTCTGTCAGTTGCTTTTTAGTTTGCTGTTGTGACTTATTTCTCTGGTGAAACATCATTGTGTCAACAGATTAGAGCTTTCCTGTTACTTTCTAAAGAAATTTGCACTTTTTTTCCTTAATTCTTTTTCTTTTTGTGATGAAGAGTGAGAAACTTGACTGTCAGACTGTCTTTCTTTTCATTGACAATTTTATCCATCACTCACTATATTAAAAACACAAAGGGAATTGATTCTATATCCTCCCCCAAAAAAGGGGAAAAGAAGAGTATATTTTATTTTATTGCAGGGTTTTTTTATTATTTATTTATTTTTTATTTTTTATTTTTTTTTTTTTTTGGGGGGGGGGGGCGGGGGGTTTACAAAATGGATAGTATGCATTGGTTAATAATAGAAGTATGTATGAGTTAATCACTTGGTTAGAAACCGAGGACATGGTCTAATCAAGTGTGATTTTTCATTTTTTTATCTGCTTTTATTTGTTAAGTACCTTCTTTGTCATCAAATTATGTTTTTCTTTTTCTGTTATTTGGTTGGTTGAGTTCCAGTGAGCAGAGGTGATAAATGAATAAATTATTAGTGGAGATATTTGTTAGTGCAACTTACTTTGCCATGTAAAACTTGATATGACTGCCTGGCGTTTTTAAATTTTAAGCCTTAAGAAGTGCATCTGAAATTTAAAGTTTTCTTTTTATGCAGTCTGGTAGGTGCTTTTATGCAATCTATATTTTGCTATGTATATAATCTTGCTTTGCTTGACATGCATTGTTGCTATTCTACTGTATATAAGAATCTTCAATATGTCTTGCTTTTGGGTTTCCTTCAGGTGGTAATAGTGGTGTCTTCTTGAATTTGTCTCTAAGGGTCACGTTTTCAAACATGCTATGATGTGCTTGAGTGCTTAAACCATTTCAATCTTTTATCAATGGAGCTAATGCAATTTATGATGCAGATGCTTTGAGTACATTGAAGAAATGATCCACAAACAGGAGCCTCTTGTCAATGTTCTACGGCTTCTCATCTTATTTTCTGTAACAAATGCAGGGTTACCCAAAAAGAATTTTGACTATTTGAGGCAAGTCTTATTGAGTTTAGATGAATTTCTCACTTTATCTTGGTAGGCATTGACTTCTCTGAAAAATTCATTTCAACTGATTTCTGAATCTTGATAAATTGCACAACTGGATTAGGCGAGAGATACTTCACAGCTATGGGTTTGAGCATATGGCTACTCTCAACAACTTAGAAAAAGCTGGATTGCTTAGGAAGCAGGTTTTAAGATTTTGTCATTCATCACTTAGAATTTCTTATTCTCCATTCAGAGTGTACTAGATTTAATTTTCTGGTGGGTTCAGTGAATTCTTTTCTTTTTACTTTGTTTTTACAGGAATCAAAAAGCAACTGGCTGACAATCAAACGTGCTCTGCAACTTGTAGTTGATGATACTGACACAGCAAAGTAATACTCTATTTAATCATGATCAATATGTGAAGCCTATTTTTACAAGATAGTAAAATGACCTTTTTCCGTGGTTGATAATGGATGCAATTCATGAATATCACCACTGCATCCAAACCTAAGATCAATGAATTAGCTGGATTTTTCAGGTTAAAGCAAACAAATAAAGTTCTGCTTTCCCATGCAAACAAAATGTTAAGCTTAACCTTAACTTTGTTGTGATCACAATACTTAAGCATTTTTTCTATTTTTGCATTTTGAAATTTTATGTTTGCAAGCAAGAGTGTATGAGAAGAAATGCCAAAGGGTACACCACTCAAGTACAAAATCAAATACCCAGCATTTCAAAAGACAGTTCTAAAAGTTCACTTGCCAAAGTTCAGGTCACCTATAAACTCCACAGTACAGATAAGATTTGCAGATTTCTCTTTTAGCCAAAAGTAAAAACCACACAAAGAAGCCAGTTTCAAATTCTATATGGATTTGCAACAGGAATATAGAAGTTGGAAAGTTAGCCAATATGTCTACTTAACAAAATACCACTTTTGAAAGTTACAGCCTCAGCTTTGTTAATGTTCTCTCTAAATTTCAATAATGCTGTCCAACTTGGATGGGCTTCAGAAGAACCAACAGGCAAGAAGAACTCCCATTTTGAAGGCAATATCCCTTGTTACCCCTGAATATCATTCATCTTTTAAGGTAACGATTTTGATCCTGTTCACTTTGAACCCAAAACTGCCTCGGAAGTGAATGAGCATGCAGAACATATTTCTTAGCTATTCATCTTCAGCCTTGGTTGTCAGAACTCAAAGTTATTTCTGTTGCTTTAAGCTTTACGTAAATGTTAATGGAGTATTTTTCTTCTTGGTTTTTATGTTGATACCATGGAATTGAATTTAAAACATCCAGAAGTATTAAATATCTGGCTTTGGGATTTTAATCTGTTTAGTACACAAGGCCCCCAGTTTGCAAGTTTTGATCTGTTTATTAGGTATATTGTATATTTTATCATTTTGTAATTGGCTGCCGCTTTCCTTCTGACTTTTTTTTTTTTGTTTTTTTGGTGATTGATTTGCTTATGTCAAAGCCCAAATGATATTTCCTATGTCTTCTCCGGATATGCACCTCTCAGCATTCGCCTTGTTCAGCACGCTGTTCGATCTGGATGGTGAGGCTGATTTCTTTGGAGCTGAACTTGGTTTGATTCTTTTAGAAACAAGCCTGATTACTGTATTTGTATTTTTTTATTCCTTTAAAGCCATGAACCTTGCATGACCCAAGAGGAGAAATTTGATTGATTTCTATTTCTAGGATTTGTATAAAGAGAAGTGTTTAACCATTGCAAGTCCCTAATATTTGATTGAGAACAGGAATCACCTCATTAAGAAACTGGGAACTTTAATTTAAATTGTAGTGATAGAAATGATGATACATGGTTATTTCTTAAATGGATAGCTTTTTAGTAATTCAATGTGGCCTTTATGCTTTTCAAGTTTCAACTTTAGGAGTTGAACGGTGATTTGGCCTTCATTTTTTATCACTCTTTTAGGTGGTTGATTACCAAGACTAGCTTCAGCATTGCCTTAATTTTTGAACTAAATTGAAGTAGTGCATTAGTTGAACAAATTACTATCCAGTTTCTGTCATGCGAATATGGATTTCTTTTAATTAAACGGAAAGGAATGGGAATATGGAATTATTTAATTTAAAAAACATACAGAATGTGGAACAGAGGGTGAATGCTGGGGAAAGATGCATCTAACTTTTGATATACCTTTTGTGGGATATGTATGAAAGATGAAATTATGTCACCATGCAAAGTAATTTTTTTGGGAGTGTGACTGATTACTTGAGTCTTGACTTAGAGCCACTGACATAAGTTCTGCCACCTTGACATGTCTCCTCTTGCTGAGCCTCAACTATACAAGCCCCTTCAAAACACAAATAGGTGAAATCTAAGCCACCTCTTAAATATGGACAATATATTAACAATCCAAATGATGGCATAAAGGCACAACTTTATCATGGCAAATTAATATTACTGATTTATATTATTAAATAATTTCTTATTTGTATTTTGTGGATTTTTGTTATGCCTACTACATCCCGACAACTTTCTTATCTGAATTCAGTGGTGGCATAGTTCTTTGCCTTCTTGTTTGGCTTTGTCAGTGGTCAAACATCTATCATCCTCGGTTTTAAAATTTGATTCTGAAGTCAGTTTCACTTCTTTTGTAGTGTAAAATTCACTTAGGCATAACTGTTTTTCAGCATCTTTTGAACATTTGGCTCTGTAGCAGCTTTATTTCATCATATGATATATTGCAAATGTAATGGCATATGTATATTTTATTAAATTTGACTACTTTTTCTTCAGGCGCCCTGTTGAAGAAATACTGAAGTTGTTGCCTGGACCTCATTCAGAAACTAAACGAGTTAATTTTCTTTCCTCTTGTCATTTCTCTTTCTGATTCCATGTTCCCTATTGCACACTTGGTTGCTTCGTTTATTGGTGTAAATTTTGGCAGAGTGGATTTGCAAGCAGTCCATCATATGATGCTTTGACTGGGACCATTCCCCATATGGACAAGTGCGCTTCAATAACTTACTCCTAATTTCTGAGATACTATCTATTTTTCTCTTATATTATCCATTTTCTGTGCCTTCTTTTTTCTAGTGTCTATTTTTGGTGACAACATACAGATTCATTTCCTTGTACATTAATTGTTTCAAGTATGAAGCCAACAGGCCCATTTGTTTGAGAACCGAAAAAATAAGCTCCTCTCTCTCTCTCTCTCACACACACACACACACAGACACAGAGACATGCATGGGCATATCAATGATGCCCAAAAACACTAGTTTTCTCAGTAAAAATTTGCATGTGTCTGGTATGTGTTAGAATTTTATGTTGTAGAAGACATGACGTCATTCTTTTCAAAAAGAACAACAGTTTAAATTCAATCAGGGCAAATACTGTCTCTGTTAATCTAAAATGATTGCAAGATTTCAAATTTTTGTTCCTTTTTTTTCCTCTCTTCAAATGAAGTATCTGACACTCTTTAGCATGAAGCAAAGTGGGTGATGGAAGGCGCTCTCAAGTACTAGTTGTCTTCATTGGAGGGGTAACATTTGCAGAGATTTCTGCTCTTCGTTATCTCAGTGCTCAGGTATGTGGGCTATTATGGATATATATTTTTTACATGAGTGAAAACGATTTATTTATGAGTAATTTTTTTAAATCATATCAGAATTTTAGTTGCAAGGAAACATTATGTTAGAGTGGGGTGGCCGCAGGTAATAGGTTGACCTTGGAACTGGCTTTAGAGGTGGATTTAATCCTAAGGTAGTTCTCAAGTTAGGTTATAATTCTAAACATTTGGAATTGATCTTTGTTGGCAGCTTCTGTGTTGTAGCAGTGTACTTGACTGACCCTACCCAGTAACTGCCCTTGGTGAACGGACCTAATAGAATGCTTTACCTTGCCATTTAATCCATTTTGCGTTAGGTTTTTATGTATGTATTATTTTGCAAAGGCTTACTAGAAGTTGTAAGAATTAAAGGACTCTGGTGTGTCCTGTCATGTTGATTAATCTTTGTCAAAAAATAAAAGAATCAAGAAACAGGTAAAGGTTCTAGGCTTTGGAACCCCTGAACTTGTCAAGTTCACAGATTTCTGGGTAAAACAGGGCTGTAAGTTCCTAGTTCCCGTTTTCAGAATTAGTCGGTATATGGTAGGTTGCTTGAAACCAATTTCAGCTGACCCAATATCTCCTCTAGTCAAACTATATCGAATGCTCTATGTCCATCTGAAGTAAATTTTCTTTGTGCAGGAAGGAATGGCCTACGATTTGGTTGTTGGCACAACAAAAATTGTTAGCGGCAGCACATTGACTGAAACGTTCATCGAAAAGCTAGGATGACTTGCAAAGAGCACGTCGGCTGATGAATTGGACTAATGACATACTGGTCTATTCTAGAGAACTAGACCAGTATTTGCGAACACTTCCTGAGGGCATTGCAATCTTTCGTTTTGTGTGGGTGTTTTACAGGAACACACGGTAGATCAGTCACTAATATTTATTTTGAGGGGATGATGGGTTTGTATTTATTGTAAATGTTGGGTTTACGACATTTTTGCAGTATCTACATTATTGTCGTTGCATGAGATGAGGAAATGAGCAGACGAGCCATCCGTATGTTGGGAGAGTTTGGCTTATTAGAGTTTTGGAATTATGGCTATTTTGTTACATGGAAAACAAATTAAATTGTTGTGATAAATAATTTGTTAAAAAAAAGTTTTAACTTTTTTTGTTTGATTATCCTAAAATATTCCATAAAAAATAAAATTTAGATAATTTTGTTAATTTTTCTCCTTGTAACAATATCCATTTTAGTATAAAAAATTTAAAAAATCGGAAAATAGAAAACTCATAAGAGCCGAAAAGAATTAGTAAATTTATGTTTTTAGAAACTGATTTTTTGGATTTTCTTATTGAAAGTTCAGCTTTTTTCATATTAAATCAAATAATTCAAAATCAGAAAAGTCGGCGTCTATAAATGGACCAGGCTGTGGAAAGCTTTTGCTCTTGGCTTTCAAGGTCGGATGCTTTTTATTTTCAAATTCAAACAATGATAAACTCTCTTTATATCTTTATATTATCCCAAAAGCGAGTATTGCTGGTGCCTCGTCCGCCATTCCAGCCCAGCATCCCTGGCCAGTCTCATTAAAGGTCCCACAACCCCCGCCCTCACCTTATTTCCCTGATAGATTGAAGGCTAAAAATAGCTGTAGCAGCATCCTTCTTTCCTCTAGGAGTCCCCTCACAAAGTAAACTTGCTATTCTGTTGACATGAGATTATTACAAATCAAATCAACAAAATTACAAGTTATAATGTCTTGGTATGTTTTTTGGAGAGAAGAAATTTTGAGAGACAGAGAAATTCTTTTCTTAAGAATTCCAAACATTCGTCATTTTACAAAAATGATATTTATAAACAAACTTAGGAGGAGTTATAGGGAGATACAACCTCCCTTTTAAATTCAAACAAAACCGGGTCGAGTTGACCCGTTATGGGCAGACTAGATCTGACCCAATTTTTCAACATCTCTTACTCACACATGACATGGTCAACAAAAACCCTTGTCATAATAATTTTAACATATCACGATTTTTATACCAAGGCAAATAACTCATGCGACTAGCAATTATATTTGAGTATTCCGTTATATATCAGTTAGGAGTACATAACTATTCATAAAAATTTACATAGATATACATATATAGTATCTTTCCATACCTTAAACTAATTTTTTATCGCATCAATTCAAGTATCTCTGATCCCTCAGTGAAAGAGTATGCTTGACCAACTCTCAATGTAATCATAATTATGCCATCCACACTAAATAGATTACATAATTAGTTGACCAGTGAATACATATATGATACTAATAAGTATTGTCTTCCTTTTTGACAAATAACCTTCAATCCTCAATCAGCTACTTTCCTAGACATGTCTCTTTAAATCGAATGATGCATGGTTATAAATAACACAATTAAGTAGCAACACTAAATTGAAATATCAAATTATTGCCAAAAATCTATAAGGGTATTTGATGAGATTTAATAATCTCAAGGGTCTCACATAGTAAAGAAGTAGGGATCGATTCTTCTATTAACCTTTTTGTTAGTTTTTGGCACATGTGGTACGAATCACATGTTATGATATTATCTTTTTCTTTAAGAGAGCACATGTCAATATAAATTTTAACAACATATAGATTTAGGTTCAAACACATATCAGTGTTTAACTTGAATTCATTCTCACATTCTAATCTTATTAAAAGTTCATATTGACTTCTATAACAAGTTAAATAAATGTATCACATAAACATTTACTTTGATCATTATGACTAAAATGATCTTATCTTGACTCTCTCTCATTTATCAAGACAACAATTCTATTTTGAGTCAATAAATAGACTTATATATCAAAATCATCAAATCTCTTCATACATTCAGTATTAGAGTTGATTGTCAATGTAAGAGGACCAATCTCAAAACCTATTGACATGTATTTTATGTACTCATAAACACAATTAAATATAATAGGCTTGTGCTTTAAAAATCATGGCATATTTAAATGAATTCTCTTTTCATAAATAAGAATTCGTACAATTTATTTGCAAGTACATTATATTTTTTCGTAACCCATAGATCTGACATAACTCACATTTACATTACGGGCTAATGACTTAGTGAAAGGATTAGCTAACATTTGATTAGTAGAGACATATTGCAATGTCACTTCTTTTTTAGCAATTATATCTCTCACATACGGATAACGAATCTCAATATGTTTGTATTTACTTTGATATTTTAGATCTTCTAAACAAGCCAATGCAACTTGATTATCATAATAAATTAAAACAAGTCTCCTATTATCATTAGCATTGATTAGATACTCTAAGAATCTTTTTATCTAAACAGTTTCTTGTATTGCTGCTGAACATACTACAAACTCAGTTGCCATTGTAGAAAGGGTTATGCAATTTTGTTTCTTACTGTACTAACTAATGACTCAAACATTTAGCCAAAACATATGATTAGAAGTAGATCTTCTCTCATCTAGATCTTTAGCTCAATTAGCATGTAAATATCCTATTAATTTTGAATCTGATCCTTGATAATATAAACAATAATCTACTGTGCCTTTAAGATACCTTAGTATCATCTTTATCGCTTTCCAATGACAATTTCCAAGATTAGATTGAAAATGGCTCACCAAGCCTACGATGCAGCATATACTCGGTTTAGTACACACCATAGTGTACATTAAACTACCTTCAGTACTGGCATAAGACTTTTTAGCCATTTCTTCTTTCTCTTGAAAGGTTTCAAGACACATAATATTACTCAAGATTTCTATCTTAGCTACTGGGGTATCGAATGGTTTGTAATTTTTCATTCTAAATCATTCTAAAATCCTTTTAATATAAGATTTTGTGTGATAAGACTATTAGCCTTTTTGAATGATTTCTTATTATCTTGATCTCCAAAATGAAAAATGCTTCTCCTATGTCTTTTATTTCAAATTGAGAAAACAACACTTTTTAACTTCAATAATAAAGTATTTATCATTTTCGACTATTAAAATGTCATCGACATATAATGACATTATAACAAACTTTCCTTTAACTCTTTTAACATCTATACAATGGTTTTTGTTAATTATCTCAAAGTCATACACAATGATTGCATTATGAAATTTTAAATTCTACTGTCTTGATGCTTGCTTAAGGCCATAGATTGATTTTTTCAATTTGCACACTTTGTACTCTTGACCTTTAATAGTGAAACTTATAGGTTGTGTCATGTAGATTTGATCATCAAGATCGCCATTCAGGAAAATCATTTTTACATTTATTTGATGTAATTCTAAATCAAACTGTGCTCCTAAGGCCTGAATTAATTGTGTGGATGCAAACTGGACTATTGGCGAGAAAGTTTCTTAATAGTCTATACCCTCTTCTTAGGTATATCATTTAGTAATAAGTCTAGCTTTATATCTATCTATTGAGTCATTAGCTTTACGCTTGATTTTGAGAACCCATTTGTTCTTAATAGCTCTTCGACCTTCAGATAAGTCAACCAAATCCCAGACTTTATAGTCCTTAATTGATTTTATCTTTTCTTCTATTGCACTCTTCCACTATTCCCTACCTAGAAAATCCAATGCCTCATCCATTATTCCCTACCTAGAAAATCCAATGCCTCATCCATAGTACATAGTTCTTCTTCCTCAATAGGAGCAACTATGAGGGCTTCTTTCTCAATGTCAAATCTATGAGGAGGAATAGGTTTCCTTGAACTCTTTCTTAATTTAAGTTATTGGAAAAAAGATTCATTCAGTAACAAATTACCCTTATTAACTGGAGAGATTTGAGTGTTTTTTCACAAATTCATCATTTAATTGATCTATTTCATTCATCTCACACAAAGAAAATATTTGATCAACCTCTTCATGACTAGGAAACTCATTTTTGAGAAATATTGCATTTTGTGATTCAATTTTAGATATTTCCTTCTGGATATTCACCAATGAAAACATATCCCTTTGAACATTTAGAGCATCTAATGAAAATGCATTTCTTTCCTATTGGACTAAGCTTCCCATATTTAGGAGAAGAGTCTTTGACATAAGCAACAAAATCCCAGATCCTTAAGTTGCTCAGGTCAGGTTTTTCTACCAGTCCACAGTTCATAAAGAGTTAATGGAACTGATTTGGAGGGTACTCGATTAAGGATATAGGTAACTATTAGTAAAGAGTCACCCCAATAAGGGATCAACAATTTAGTTTGTGCCATAATTGACCTAACCATTTCAAAAAGAGTACGATTTCTTCTCTTAGCCACTCTATTCTACTGTAGAGTTCTGGGAATAGTTAACTGTTGCAATATTCCCCTTTCATTACATATTGTCTTAAACTGATCAAACAAATATTCTCTTTCACAGTCAGTTCTCAAAGTCTTAACTTTTCTCTCAAGTTGATTCTCAACTTCATTTAAATATTGTTTAAAACACTCTAGTACTTTAGACTTATGAGAGATAAGGTAGATATGACCATAACATTAGAAATCATCGATAAATATAATAAAATAAGAGGCTCCATGCCTCGTCCTCACATACAATGAACCACATATATCTGAATGAATCAACTGCAATGGAATTTTAGCTCTAATAGCTTTGCCAAATGGTTTATGAGTTCTTTCTTTTTTTTGCAAAGACAATACTCACACATAGGTAAGTTTACTTTCGTAAGAGGTCCCAAAAGACCTTCTTTAATCAATCTATTCATTCTATCTTATTCAATATGTCATAGTCTAGCATGCCAAATTTTATCATCCACAATAGCATTACT